CATATAATCATTTTTATTTTATTTTTAAAACTACCAATTGTTCTTTGAGAGATCTCCGGTTTTCCACGGCTGAGTTCCCCATGTGTGCGAAGCTGCTGTCATCAGAAATGTAGAATGGAGCACGATTACATTTCTAACTCCCTGCCACAGAAATTTTAAAATTAAGATTTTAATAAGAGTAACTATTTTTTAAATATATATTAAAACAAAAAAAAGTATAGTTACCATTCCCCATACGAGAAAAGGAATGCCACCAAATAAGTAAAGGATAATGGAAAGTGCGAGGTTGTTCAAAATCCATGTTCTTTGAAGAAACCTATAAAAAGGTTGTCTCTTTAAATCTGCTGCGTTCTCTTCCCCTCCACACTGTATAAAAAGGTTGTCTCTTTAACTCATGATTGATTATAGGCTTAACAAGTACTACTTTAGTTAACGGTAAAATATTAATTTCTTTAATTACCTTTTGGAGGATAAAATCAGTGTCAAAGATCCAGAGGAAGTAACTAAACCAAAAGCCATGTCGTGGAGTATGAGGATCACGATCTGTATCACAGTATTGGTGATGGTAACGATGATTGCTCACCCACTCTATTGGATCTCCCTATACATATATAAATGTAAAATCAATGTAATATTTATGCTCACATGCAAAACATGTTTAATTATTTTTTTTTTTCAAACCTGAAAAGCTAGTGTGCCACACCAAGCAAAGAGATACTCTAGCCATTTAGGCAGAGTGAAACTCCGGTGAGATAGATTCCGGTGATAGGACAAGGTGATCCCCGTTCCCGCTATGCAGCTGAGCCCGGCCGCGACTCGAAAAGCCGGCCAGTTGAAGTGAAAAGGTGCAAAGAGGCTTAACAAATGAACACCAAGGATCCCTATTGCTCTACTCACATCCCAATAGTTCCATTTCCTTTCCCAAAACACTCTCTTCTTTCTCACGACCTCTGATGAAAAGGGTATTTTCCGGTAGCTTTCCTCTTCGGTTTTTGTTGTTTCTTTTGGTACATCCTCCACGATGAAGGTAGATTTCTTGCAAGCAACAACTAATCTTTTGGGAAGAAGGAAGTTTGAGTTAGGTTTAGTATAAGAAGTGAAAAGGAGATTGTTAGGACAACGTTGTCTTCGGACAAGTGTAAGTGAAGAAAAGGAAGAGAGTGGTTTGAGCGAAGTAGAAAGAGAAATCATTGTGTGAATGTGAAGTAGTGTGAGTAATCAATCGGTCGTAGCTAGCCATTTAAATAGGTTAGAGAACTCGAGAAAATCAAAGCATTAAATTATATAAGTGGAAGAGTGTATAGAATGATCAAGAAAGAAGACGAAGACTTTGGCTATTGACCGATAATATTCTACAACATTGCCTGGGAAAACAAGGAATTTAGTGATGGTAAGATAAACTAATGAATTTTCTTCAGAGACTCATTATCGCTCAAGACGACTCATATTTCCA